GTTGGAGCATGAGCACTAAAGGCCCAAACGCAATGTGGGCGGAAGCGGAACGGAAACGGAAAGTTTGACAGTTGTCACAGCTGACATCAAGATGTCTAACCGAACTCGATTTGGTTCTAACTAGTTTTCAATCCGACAAGTAGGCTTACTCGGATCGCTTCCGCTGTCATTCCGCTTAAGCCTTCTCTTGTCTTAGCCTTTTATGACTTATGGCTATAGCGCCATTACTCGCTTTCTGAAAAAAGAAGAGGGAAAGGAAAAGGAGAAGGACAAAGGGAAAAGGATTATGTGAAATCTATGTCATGACTAGGGTTCGGTGGTAGATTGTATACCAGTAACGCACCACAAAAAGGTGATCTCCCAACGTTACTGGTTTGAAAAGATAAAAATTAACAAAATGGAACGAACTCACCAAGTTTAGCCAATTGAACCTGAAGGCTGCCTGACATGGTCCAAATTGTAGACGAAGCTTGACGAAGATCAACATAAACTAGTTTGGTTTATGGTAGTTGCGCGGAATGTCTTCCTTTGATTTGAGATAAACAAATGTTCGGATGTTGGTTGGTTGGTTGTCTTTATTAAGGAAATTTTCAGCCAGACGCTGGTTTATCTCCGACGATGTTCGGATGTAAATAGTCGATTTTTGATGTGCATTGGCAAGCCTTTTCGTGGCCAATACTCAGGTTCAACGCTGCGACTCAACCAATGATGGAACTAACGATGGGACGAATGATGGAATGCCTCGTGGAGGTTCTACTTAGCTTCGGAACAGCTTTTCAGCGGAAAATAATAGGGACCTAGAAATTGTCTCCTGGGCCTGGTTATGGTCGGATCAGCAACCGATTATAGATATAAAAAAGCTCCACGGAAAAACAAAACAAACGTCAGGTTTGAACACACGCACAGCCTGAAACATCCGTAAATGTGGTCCATCCATGAAACTGATGATAGAGCTTAGTTTAGTTTACTTTATTTATTTCATCAACCAACGTAGAATAGTACAAATACATATACAGCTTTTTTCTTAAATATAAAAAAAAATCTTTGAAAGAAAAAGGAAAAAGTACAATTTTGTCTTAAATAAAATTTAAGCAGTGTCTGCTTCTTATGAATTATAATTCCATATGGAGTTCAAATATTGTTTTAGTTTATGCCGAGATTGTTATGTAAAGTCAATGGTTTCGCAGTATTGATTGTAAGAGGCCATCATGCGATTTAATGGCCTATATTTTGTATATAAAACTGTGGAGCTCTAGGATAAGTTTCTTTGATTGACCTCATTTACGGATGTTCTGGACCTACCAGAGTACGTCCCCATGGAATCTGGGTCCATGATTATGTCATGAACCCAAATTCTTTCTTATATCACAGTTCCAAATGCTTTCGAAAAACCCATGGAACTCTAGGATCAGTTTCGTTGATTGACCATTTTTAAGGATGTTCCAGGTCTTCCGCAGGATGGTCCTATGTTACGACCCCCAAGTGTTTTCGTGAAACCGCGGGGCTAAAGCATCAGTTTCATAGATTGGCCACTTTTACCGATGTTCTGGATCTTTCTGGAAGACGATTCCTTGGCCATCAGGGTCCATGTTTATGTCACAACCCCAAATTCATTATATCATCACAGTTCATAGTACCGTTTCGTTGTCTCCAGGATCTATATAAGAGAACCATGACTGTATTCTGGCTAATTAAGAACATTTGTCTCCTTTAATCTAAATTATAGATCTTAAGCCACTTGCCCATAAACACACCCTAAAAAAAAGTGTAACGACTCTTTTCACTTTTTATAAAGGAGACAACCCTATTTTCAATATTTGTACAATCAAAATAACCAACAGACCCGAGGAATTCTAGAGCTACCACAATTTTTGAAATTCAGCAAGAAATGGCTAAGTTATATCATTGCAAACTTGCCGTTACACGTTTTTCGTAAGTTTCGTAGTCGGCGTAAAGTTTTTTACCCACCGCATTCGGAGTGCTAAAGTGTAGGAAAGATTCCCGCGTTAGGAATTCCGTCGCATTTTGGGGTATGAACATTGGTCGAGAAAGAAGTGCCGTATCGGTGCTGCACGTGTTGTGTCCTTTGTACATTTCGACATAAGTAAGTGTGCTCATAATATAGAAAACCACGATCGGTCAGCTGCCTGGTAATGTGTTTTATGGTGTTTTCAAATTGAAATTGGTTGTTTGGTGAGATCATTTATATCTTTTTTAATAGGGTTACGGTATGTAATGTGGGTCTAGTCCTTTCATTCGGCCTATCACGCAAATAAATAATTAATTAAGGAATATTACACAAAAAATAAGGAAAATATTGATCACTGATGGTTGATAAATGTGTACCACACACAAATCAATTTATATCACAACATTTCAATACATTTTCAGCTCTCGTAAGTAATAAAACTGGTTGAGAATATCACAATGTTCGGAGTTTTTAGCCGCCATGACTTATAAGGTTAAGATGGGAAGGTTGACTGACGATCATCAAATGGCCTGATTATGGCATTTATTGATTGGAATTACCTGATAATACACACTAGACGTAAAACTTACAGTTGCTGTTTGAATATTTTATGTTTATTTTAATTGTTTAACAACGTTTTCACAAGTAAAACATGGACCCAACTTTAGGGACACATTTCTTTTCTATGTTCCTAACTATGGCCCATGAAATTCATTTGACAGCATATAGCAATAAGAGTAACGTCAACAATGTTGTTTTGCATTTGGATGATAAGGAACGAACAGGAAGGGAGATTTTTTCTGCCAAACCTGTATAATGAACATCACAATGTTCTGATTTAGATATTCTGCGGTCAAAAGACGATAAGCGAAATTTTTAATTTTTAATTTTTAAATTGAGTGATTTAATGTAGTTTTCGTAAAATTTTCTCTAAGAAATGTTTTGAGGAATGAAGAGCATTAAGTTAACAGTGATAGTGATAAAAAAAATACATCAGAAAACGTTACCAAGAGCGTTTTTTTGAGGATCAAACAAGATAGGACGAAGTTGCATCCATAAATAGACCCAATTTGGGGACAATAGACCCATATTACATACATTTCCCTCGTGAGTTATTGTCTTAAAAAAAGTAAGTTTTTCAACTTTTCGTGGTTTCTGATAGCAAACGACATGATAAGCATATCTAAGCATACCATTTAGCAGTAGAATATCGTTTGCAGGTAAATTCATTGATGAGTTATGATTAAAAACGTAATCGATGGCTGCATATTAGACCGAGGTTAGGGACGTATACCCTATATTTAATTACATTACATCATATAAAATTTCTAAATATCTTGGACCGTCCGGTGCGATATTTCCACGCATCCTACCACCCCTGTAGATTCACGGAATGCATCGCTGTTTAAGACTGTCTTCTTCTTCTTCTTCTTTTTCTTCTTCTTCTTCTTCTTCACTTTATTTAACGTCGGTCTCTGTTCCACAATCTAGTGCCCATCACTGACGGACATCGATTGCCATCCATTGACGGTAATCGAATGTGCACACGCCAACCAAAAATTTATTACAATGAATGTTAGTTCCATTTCCTATCATCCTTTGTTTATGAACATCACAACGAATGTTAGAAGTTGACCTTGCAGGCGATGTAATGTTTTTTTTTGTCTTTTTTATTTAGTGTTCTATCTACGCTTTCGACTATACCAGCAAGTTTGTTATAATGTTAATGTTATAATTGTAGAACGACGCACACACTTGCCTCCAATCTCTCCAGCAGAAAAAACATACGCAGTCGAGTATGAGAGGCAATGCACGCTTCGTTTTTGCTTTTAGGCTATCCATTCAGAAGCATGGAGAGAGCAGGTCTTATAATCGCAACGTTCGTGGTTCGAGTCCAGTCGGCAACCTTTTTCCTATTTTGTTCGACATAATTAATTTCGCTCACTAGTACACTCTACATTTTTCGGTCTCCAATTTTCTTGCATTGGACCACAGCTAGGTATATCGCATCTTCGGTTCATGCGGTCTCCACTAACATCCTCTGATGATGAATCCCACATAAATGTAAGCGAATCTTACATCCCCGGTTGGTTACAGGAAGGCAGCTTCCACACCTGCGTAGGATATCGCACCCAGTGCGCAAAACAGTCAGGTTCAAAGAGTCATTTTCATATGAATATGAACTGCCATCTGCCTCATCATTCACTGAACGTTTTTGTTGGCTCTTTCATTGCCTTTCATGACAGAGCAATAAATTGAATAGTGCAGTGCTTTCACACTCAGCCTAAGCACTCTCTGATCGCACCCATTGTCATTGAAAATAAACGATTTGATGGATTATCAATATTGCGAAAATTGCATGAGGTTATCACGATACAGGCGATAGGTTAACGACTCCCTCTCGTAATCAACAATCGACTTTTGAGACCTCTGCATGTCGTGCTTCAAACTACTCATTCCATATCACAGTAGACTACTATAAGACACGTGTGGTGTTATTTATAATAGTATTTGTCGGTACAGGCTGTGCATGCTAGTTTAAGGAAATTTATTTAAACCCGTCCTGCGTTCGAATATTTTCTTACTTTTTCCACTAAAAATATCACTCCCCGTTATGTTCAGCTATAAATTTAAATAGTCTATCTAAATTTCAAATAGCCTTCTATCACTTAACGCCAGAAATTCACGTCAAATCATTCATCTGGTTTGAAATCAACTTACGTCAACCTAAGCGCCGAGACCTGTTCTCATGTGCTCAGGTATCAACAGATGTTGGAACTCACACCAGCAACATTAGGAGCCACACTACTATAGCGTGGAGGTCTTTCACATGTTGCCAATGCTGATGATGACAGGCAAATCAACCGACAGTCGTATGCGAATCTTCGGAAAACATACAAGTTAAGCATCATTCACTCTCTAGGTATACGTAGTTGCCTCTCGAACGATGGATTCGAGTGAAATTTGATACAGGTCAAGATTGCTCTGCCCTCACCAGTAAGAACAAACGTGAGTATTGCTGCCCTAAACGAATTGATTGGAAGAAAGCAAAGCTGTTTCGAGAAACAAACGACCCACATTGATTTTGGACTTACTTTCCATCGTGCGAGCACAGAGAGAGGAAAGCTACGTATTATCACAACTCGGTAATCTGCGTGCGTCAAGGGTGTTGATTTTTTGTTATGATTAATTATCATCGTGTCTATTTAGTTTCTCATAGAAGGCTCGTGAGATAATGAAAAAGTACTAAGTGGTTGCAATGAGGAGTGATCGTTAAAAAAAATACTCGGAATTAACTCAACACGACAAAGGGCGCAGTTTCTCTTTGAGATTGCTGCATCAAGCCAGGGAAAGGAAACATCACTATAGACTGTAGTACTTATAGACAGTTCGATCAAAACGCGTAACCAGGAAATCTGTCGCGGATTATGTTATTGCTCGGTTTCGTAAACAAACATTTGGCGTAAAATTTCAAAAGCATGGTAATTATCATCAGTCTATGAATTGTGGTGTTTGGCGCGGTTTCTCAAACAGTGAGTGGATTGAAATTTGCATAGTGAGGAATTGATCAATTTTGATTGCGTGCAAGGTGCTGGTCAGTAAGATGTGTTACGTAATTTATGAGCGGAACCTTCTTTGTGCGAATTCCGCTGTAACCATTGTTTAGAGTAAACAAACATTAAATATAGCTTACTTTTGCACTTTTAGACTGCCTACTTCCTATGCCAGAAGCACACGGTAGAGCGAACCCCATGACATAAGGTACGAGGAAGGGAGTCGATGGGTAGAATGATATCACCGTGTTCAAGATTGTTTAAATTACTACTGGCATTAAATATCCACCTGGCCGTAACGGTGACCAGCTTGGAGCCGAGTCAGCATGCTGTTCCGGTTCTGGTGGATGAAAACACGCTCGATGATTTCGGCGCACATGGCTACGAGTTGACGCAGTCGCAGAACATACAACGGCAGGATGCCCTCACGAAAGCGTGTGCCCAGATGCGGGATCATCTGGAGTACAAATCGGTGGACGAGTTAAACACTTTTCAGATGAGTCATCTGCTGGTTGACGAAAAGCACAAGTTCCTGTACTGTTATGTTCCTAAGGTATGTGTTGTTATCTATAAGAAACGGATTATAGTTGTTATCATGTGCCGCAACTTTCATAACGACGGACAACTAGCGATTTAGTTGGTTATAATACATGTATCAGGATTGTTTACAGCTGCAGGCAATACACATGTGTCTTCTATATGTATTTCTTATGATTGACCTTGTCAAATTTTAATTAGCATCAGAAGAGGTTTTACTTTTAACCAGCATCTTGCTTGTTTGCTGTTCTTCAAAAGCAGCGTCTGTATTCAAATTAGTCATTTGTTATTTGTTGTTATCTGTTAATTTTTTTTTTGGATCTTTGCATTACTACGTGAAGATAATATAAGGGCAACAACGAGAAAATCCACAGCCAGTCTTTCGTTCTAAGCGTGATTCTTCTCATTTGTTGATAGGCTAGCTGCCTAGACGTTATAGAAATCATGCGTTAAACACGTTGCAGAAAACAAAAGTCGAGTTCATTTTAGAGCTTCGAAAATGTAGAGTATGAAGTCACTTTTTTTACGATCAATGTTGAGAGTTAAGAATTTGCCTTTAATTAATCTCAAATCTCATAATCAAATTACAGCTTGATTAGACAAGAAATTGGTGTTCTAAAGATTCATTAGTGACCATTGTCCAATCACTAATATTTTGATATTGTTTTTCAACTGCGTGATCTAGACGTTCTGTTATATTCAAAATTTGTTCAGATTTTTTTTTCTTGCCTGTGATCTCGAATTAGTCACAGAAAAAAAAATCTGGTCCCAATCAAGAGGCGGGACACCTTAGCTGAATATTTTTAATATTTTAATTTTCTTGACTAAAATTTAAAATCAAAAGTATCCGTAGAACAAACATTGCTCAGCGCAGACAGTTCTTTCTTTTATATGTATTAGTTTTTGAAAATACTAAAATATTGTCGTTGATATTTAGAAACATTTCTTTTTTTATTATAGAGATTTTAAACTTGAGAGTTACTTCACTTCTTAGAAATATTTGATGATATTTTCAAATATATCTAAGTTCTCTTGCCCCTGGATCCCAATATCCTAGCATTTTTACTTCGTGATCTGAAAAGTTGTCCAAGCATAAGATGAAATTGAGTTTATGTGATATGTGGTGGATTTCCTCCCCCTTAGAAAAATCGAAGTGTGCTCTGCTTCTGTACGGACGCGAAAAATTTCCGAGTTTAAAATTTACGGTTTTATTTTTTCTTGGCGTTTTCTAATTTTAGTGCAAGAAAGTGAAAGTGATCGGTTGGAAATGCATTCCAAAGTGTTTTCGTTTATCATAATCGATGATTCTGATTGGAAGCAGGTGCAAGAGCTTCTTTGAAGATCCGGAGGAATATTATGAAATGTTTAGCTAGAATTAAGAGATGCAACAGTCTTTCAAGTATTGGCTTCACGTGCAAACCATCGTTCATTTGGTGAGTTCGTTCCAGTTTATTTGTTTACTTGTTTCGATACCATCTATCAGTTTTCTTCAATTTTGTATTGGACATCTTTTCGAAGAGCCACGTTCATGCTGTAATTTGTCGAGCGCACAATTTTCACACGTTGATATCGAGTAGGAACGGCAAGAGAGTCATCCAAGTGCTTTCGTTTCTGGTTTTAGACGTTTGATGTCTTCAGTGATGTTTTTGTACTTTAAAGTTCCCTTTTCTGTGATCATGGTGGGTCTGAAGAGTTTTTGTTGAGCACGCTGAGGCTGAAATTGCATACCCCCTCCCCATGGACATGGAGGTTGACGGTACTGAAGCAAAGGGTTATGTTTAATTTCTTTATATTTGCAACGATGATGATTTCCTATAGTGACACAAATCACCTTCTTAATGCTTCAGTATGCCTCAAACGAGTAGATCTTGGTTGTTAATAGAACTTCCTTGATGAAATCGGCTGCTTCATGCAGACTGATCAATTCTGATAGTAGTATCAGATTTGTTCTGTATACAGAAGAACTGGGAGGGCGTATTAGAAACTTATCACCAATATAGTAAAGATCTTCTAGTAAAGTTTGCATATAATTTTATTAATATTTTATTTTATTTAAGCATATTATTACAAGAGATTTAATATTACTTGCTCGTTTTTGCGTAAAATAATTAATATTTATTTTACTTGTAATTAACTTTGAAAATTTTTTTTTCAAGTTTTTTTTTTGTGATCTGAAAGTTTTTCCGGTTTGGTTAGAAGTTTCGAAGCTAACGCATGTCCACAGGCCCAATAGAAAGATAGGCAGAAAAAGTGTATCATGAAGAATGGTTGCATGCACTTGCTATAGATGAGTGATTTTCGGAGTTTTGAATTCGTTAGATGTTGTAGTGGAGATTTGTGCTGTTGGATGCGTTGACGCATAGAGCCTGTCAATTTCGCTTTCAGAGTGTCGCAGTCAGCGGTTTTATGATTCGTGAACGCTCGCGATTCATAGAATCGTTGATTGTGACTGCAAGTGGATTTGACGGGTTTTGTGTGTCGGATGCTTGCTTTTTGGCATCTTCTTATGTCTAACATGTGCAGAGTATCATTATAGCGTCTAATGGTTTTGAGATTCCTGGTTGCGTGAAATATATTTGTAAAAATATCTTTTTGAGATTTTAGTAAACACGTTTTGTTTGTAGTTTATATTTTATTTCTTTCATGTAATCATCGTAAATAATAGTTATTCAATAATAGCTAGTTCATCCATATATTCGTACTTTGACGCGAAGCGCTGTGGATTATGAGATACTCGATGACCCTGGAGGGATCGATTTTGCTTACTGAGCAGAAAATCATGGGTTTAATCCCAAACTCTCCGTCATGACTCTTAAAATTCATGATCACTAAACAAAATGAATATGTTCTTTCGATAGCCAGCTATCGAGAGATTAAATAAACAACAAATAAACAATACATAATTTTGGTTGCATCGCCAACTAGAGGTGAATCCTAACCGAATACCCTACCCAACCCTCCAACTCCGTAGCACTTATGAGGGTGTCGCTATGTCGGTGGCCTCTCGTTAAGTAAGTACTACATCAACATTTTCTTCCCTATCCCTAGTTATGGTAAAGATGGGCGTGGCCGGGAATAGCGACAGTCATGCTTCTGTTACTCTTGTTTAGATTGGAACCAATGTTTACTCCCCAGCATTATTCCTGAAAGTAGTCTAACTGAGAATTTCAGAAGAGACGTGAGTGTCGTTAGTATCCAATCTAACGCTAAAAGAGACCATCTATCATCCACATTCCCAATCATTGTTTTGCAATCGGAGCATCCCTCGTTCATGCAATTTTTTCACTGGTTGTATTTCCCTCGTTCTGTCAACGCGTCAGCTGTGTTGAATAAAAACAAAACAGATGGATGTCAGTGATGTCGGTTCCACGAAATGTTCCGTATATCTATAGAATTGATTGAATTCTACAGAAATTCGGATCCGTAAGAAAAATTCACAGAAGCTGAGACTTTTTTTTAGGGATTTGTTTTGTTTGTTTCGTGTGCTTTTTCTTTTGCTGGAAACAAGTTTTTAAACAAGGTAATACATCACTAATTCCTGCTCTTTCTACCACAGCTCATCACTTTAATGTGTACACAGCAAAAAATATAATATGTATCAATCAATGAAATTTATGGTGGAGTATTGAACATCAATAACTGGTAAAAGTTGATAAAATATTACAGTCATCAACATGATTTTTTCTCGAATTATGTGTACATAGTACAGCGTAATATTAGGAACAGCAATTTTAATGTAATATTCTACAACTTTATTTTATGTATTCGTCAGATGTGGTATGTGTCTTCAGTGGGATGCCTTGACCACTTATCATTTTCAAGAACTGACATCGACTAACTAAACATGAAAAAGAACTGGCATCACTGATAAGTTCGAAATGTGGTGGCTTGCTCAATGCTTCAGTGGTGCCACAATGACAAATGCAAGCACATTCCCAACTAACACATTATTTGCGATGAATGTGATTGTGAGTGTTATGTCTGCTTGTCTGTGGTAGTACTGTCAACCTCATCTACCATCCTTTTCCACCACTTCTCCAAATCAGATGGCGTTTTGATTGTTTCACAACAGTTCTTCGATTTGCGCTTGTGGGACGAAAATCTGGACAATTTGGTGGATTGATACTTTTCTCAATAAAATCGACACATAGGAAGGTAGTGTTCGACGGAGCTTCCAGTTGGATCCCTTGGATCCAAGGATGTCTGGATGTCTGGGATTCCAAATCTGTTAGAACATTTGCAGAGTCCGAAAGGATACAGAGCGGTTTGCTGGCGTGCATGGTAATGACGTGGAAGATTGCCGCACTTTCCGCAGAGAACACAAAATTCTCTAACTTTATATTTCCCTAACGAGATACCTCCTTTACTCGACGTCCTTTTTTTATTAATTTGTCCATGTACTTGCATCTCCCTAAACCGATATTGTACTATTTTATTTATATATTTTTCGATAATTTTAGATAAAGCCGTATCAGTGAAATTGATCATTGCGATTCATTGATTAGTAGAAAGATTTTTAGATAAAATTAAGTTGATTAGATTTATGGATTAAAATCTGAATAAAATAGTTTACGCATGAAACAATAAATATAATTTTCAATCACATATGAAAATCATAACTAAATGGACAATTAAATGATTGGGTCATGTTATGAAATTGAATACGAATTTGGTCTAATTTCCGCACTTTACCTCTCTTTTTTGTATTGGTTTGAACTAAAAAATTAATGTTTCTTTTAAAGATGTCTTCTAAATTTATTCAACTTTCCATACATCAAATTTTGCTATCGACTTTTTCGAGTTCGATTGGATAAAGAGTCGCAAATTGTTGAGATATTGTTAAAATTCTAACACTGCTTCTTGATTGCAAATTCGTCCTAGGGAGCATCCATTAAGTATGTCATGCTTTAAGAGGGAGGGGGGTCTACAAATGTGTGATTTTTGTGTGACATGGCCAGACATGGAAAATCATTTGCATTCATTTCGTGCATTCATTTACATTCATTTACCTCTAACTTTTTTCTTCAACAGCATTCCGCAAAATGATGTATAGAGCTTTAGTAGGTTTTGATATTAACTACAACTTTTGTTAACAAGTCAAATCCGTATCTCTTATGCATGACGAAGCAGAGCGAACAGAAGCCACTACTGTTTTTCAGTGAATGTATTTTACATTCACTGAAAACCAGTAACAAGTTCTGCCCGCTCTAGTTCGTAATGCATAAGAGATACAGTTTTGAGTTATGAGCAAAACTTGTAGCTAATAACAAAACCTACAAAAGCGCTATACATCATTTTGCGGAATGCTGTTGATGACAAAAGTTAGAGGCAAATGAATGTAAATGAATGTATGAAATGAATGCAAATGATTTTCCATGCCTGGACATGACTCACATTAGTAAGTTTCCGAAAGATGGGTGAACATGTCTGTCTGTCTGTCCTTCTGACCCTTAGAGACTCGGAAACTACTGAACCTATCGGCGTAAAAATTTGTATGCAGGGGTTTTTGGGGCAGGAAAAGATTCTTAAGATGGTTCTAGAGCCCCCCCCCCCAAACAAATTAAACAGACATTTTTGCCTAACTCGAGAATTAATCAAGCAAATGGAACCAAATTTTGCATGTGGGGGTTGCCCCTTAGATAAGAGGGGAGGGGCTACGTACAATATAGCATGCTTTTTAAATTGGCGCATAAACTCAAGCTAATATTGAATCCCGAGAAAGGCAGGGCACACTCAGCTAGTGAATAAAAAAAAATGGAACCAAATTATGAATAATAAAAGAAGTTTCAAAAATTGAATCTTAATTTTAGGATTTATTCAATAACCACCCAATTTCAAAAATTTATATAATGAATTGTTCATTTTGGAGATAACTTGCTAAATATATTTTTGAATGGAGCAGCAAAAATAATCTCGTAGTCCTACGTTAACGTGCTTTGGACACAAATCTTAACTGTTTTTCGCAAATATTTTGCTGTGAAAAATTGCTGAAATTAAAAAAAAAAAAAAAACAATTCCAAAATATGAATAAATTACAAAAACATTGCGCGAAAAAATGTTTTCGAACATTTTATTAAAAGTTGATGTTTTACGATTTTTATTAATTTGTGCCATTAGGAAAACACTCTTGATCCATACTCTTAAACTTATTATCAACACTTATTGCAGGTCGCTTGCACCAACTGGAAGCGCATCCTAATGATCATGACTGAAAAATGGAACGGCACGGATCCACTGCAGATTCCCGCAGACACTGCTCACTCGAACGGTGTGTTCAGTACGTTCAGTTCCTTAAGTCCCGACGAACGCCAAACAGTGCTGACTGACTACCATCGTTTCATTTTGGTTCGGCACCCCTTCGAACGGTTACTGTCCGCCTTCCGCAATAAGCTGGAGGGAAACGCCAAAAGTGCCAAATATTTCCAAGTAAATATAATCCCAATTCAGATTACACCGACCTTCTGCTAACAGCTAACTGCGTAAATTTCAGTCCCGTGTGGGTAAAACCATCATCCGAGCATTCCGTCCAAACGCGTCCAATGCGTCGCTGGAGCACGGCCATGACGTTACCTTCCTGGAGTTTATACAGTACCTGCTGACGCCGGAGTTGAGTCGCAATTCGAACCATTCGTTCAACGAACACTGGGAACCGGCTGCAAAACTGTGCCATCCCTGTCTACTGCAGTACAACATCATCGGAAAGTACGAAACACTGGTAGACGATTCGACGTTAGCTCTCCATTTGGCTGGAGTGAGTGAGGTTAACTTTCCCATTTCGTACAAAACATCTGGCACCAGCGAACGGTTACGAAAGTATTTCAGTGACATTCCACTACCAATTATTAAAAGCTTGTACAAATTGTACGAAGATGATTTCCGACTGTTCGATTATGGTTTGGACGATATTTTGGGTTTTGAGCTCGGTTAAACTCTCAGAAGTCAATTCATTTTACAATTAGTACAACAGAAAGAACAAAACGGCTAATCAAAACTAGAACCAGTACTAACTACTTAGTAGAGATAATGGTAATGGTACCAGGTACCGGGTTTCATTATTTTTAGTTGACTAGAAGACTTACTCTACCAGATTTTACAATAAATTTTAACACAACTATATAGACATTCGATATGACAATACTAGGGCATAGATTAGTAGTTGTTAGATGATGTTGAAACATACGAGCAAGACAACGTCCAAAATTTTATACTCAAAGTGTACAATTAGTTCTAACATTCAAAATTTAACCCGTACATGATTTTTAGATGTGATTTTTTGCGTTGATATGTACTTATCAAATTTGTTGGAGTTAACTCTGTGATGACAGCCTAACCTGAGCAATAAATGTGGCTTTACAATTGGCGATGTTCTTTTCCACTGAGTTTTGATGACAGTTCCCCCGGAATGCAAAGGATTTCGGATTTTAACAAATGAAAAATATCAATCCTCAAACATTACATTATTACATTTGTAGTTGATAATAGTAGCGGGGAAGACAGAGAAATAGCCATGTGCAAAGAAGAAAGAACTAAGTATTCCAACACCTGCCGCTGACGCCGTCCCTCTCAGTGCACTATTTGATAAATCGGCTGTATTTGGTGATTGCACTTTTCCCACCGGCTTCTAAAATTGAGGGAAAAGAAAAGAAAGAATAAACAAGGTTCGTAATCCTCCGGATCACACAGCGTCAGAGCCAAAAAAAATCTACAGGCCACTAATACAGACCTATGCCTCGTCGCAAAATATACAGGAAGAATGCAATAATCAGGTTCATGATAATCGATTTGGTAGAAAATGGTGCCGTCGGATGGCGTATTATTTTACGATCCGGCTTGGATTGGTTGACATGTTTGTCGTCCTTTTTCATACTGTTACACCTGTTGTTCTTAGATTTGAGGTTGGTTATCGGAGCCTGTCGATGTTGAAACTGTAAGTTGCTGACCGTGGGATCGTTTTGGTGATGGCTAGCCGTCGGAAAGGCGGTAATGATGATGGTGGATGTGATGAAGGTCGTCAGAACTCAACGCCAAGCGAATTGGCGAAACTCGAACGTCTAAAACAGCAGGTGACCTAGTTGAAGTTTTTGGAGAGCTGGGGCCGTTTGTTGACAAGCAGCATTGCGAACGAAGTCGGTCGTCTGGTGATCCTGGAATCAATCAGTGAATTAATTGCGTATGCGGTGAAGTAACACTGAATCGAATGAAATCGACCATTCATTGGCCAGCTGTGTTTGCGCAAGATAGAGTCGTTTTCCTCCCAGCATGAGCAGTAACGTTAAATGTAAACCACTTGAGAATGCAAAAACGATGGAGACGCGTGGTGTTTTCATAGCTCGGTTAATATGATTTTGTATTTATTGATCCAATGCTTCTTGACCAAATAAATTACCTACCCGACATTCATTTTGATTTTTAAAGAAAACGTAAATATACAATCCTAAATTAGAAAGCTTGTGCTTAACGAATTGAATTGATGTGAATTAAAAAAATGGTGCAATTCTTTTTTATCTAACTAACCGGGATCAATAATAATCAAAGTTTGTTTATTGTTATTCTCGGGTATTCAATGCTAGTGCGTTAAGCCTAACGACCTTTTTGGTGGCAACGAAAGTGAGCATAACAAACTATACTCTTGAAAATAGTGATTAAGCAAGTGTGCGTGTTAGAATCGTAAAAAAAAAATGGGAAATGCACAATTTCTTACATTTCTAACGTAAATAGATTATAAGCAATTCCGCTGGTCTCTAATTTTTCGATGTTCTAAAACAGCGCGGGCCGCATGGTGTATCTGGGTCTCATTAATTATTTCATTCTAGTTCAATTTTATTCATCATTATGAATTTTAGCCCAGAATGAATGCGCATTATACAAAATGCAGCTTGAAACATGTTTATCGAACATAGATACAGCCATTTTGAAAATCATGTTTTGAAAGGATGGGCAGGCCTGTTCTAAAATATTGGATGATATGTATTGATTTTTTTTTTAAATCTTGCATAAAATCTTAATGTATGCAGGGGAAAATGTTCTTATCTCCGTTTTTAAATCATTAAGTTCAATAAAACTGCCAAAACTACCCCATGAAAACAGTAAGATGTGCCAATACTTTAGTTGAAATGCTAAATAAAAAATGTCCAGGCGCGAAAATAGCTAAAATTGCAGAATTAAATTTAAAAATATTCTCCTTAAAATCCTAAAGAAAGATAAAATCACAGACAAACAGACATAACTCTCATAAGTTGTTAATCGAACAAGCATTTAACGGTCAATTTTAAAGAATCTCAGTTGGTAGTCCCAAAGAAAAATACTAAGATGAAACTGTCGGAAGAAAAACTTTCTATTTTAGAGTCCTCTTTCACGATCCCTTTCATCCAATGAATGCCCCTTCCGGTTGAGATGAAATTTTGCGCACTTTTTTTATCAAAACAATCACACCAAAATCAGAGATGTCCAATTTTTTAATTACTCGATTAACAACTAATCGATTAATTTTTGTTCGCTGTGCTGCCATTTTTTCAATCAATGAGAGTGCAGCACATGTTTGAAATGATGGATGATGATTCTCTGGAGAAATTAATGCTTATATCGGCATGATATAACCGATTACATATCGACAGTGAGCATTCATAAGGGCGTATACGCGATGATCGATTCTCTTAATCGATTTTCTCTTTTGTTAATAACTCGCTAGATTTAACGTTTGTCGGTGCGTTTGCTGTTGCTTTTGATAGCCAATGCAACCTGTTACAACTCTACATTGAATAAATTCTACAAAATTCTTTCGCTTAGCTGTAGCAATGCAAAGAGAAAATCGATGAAGAGAATCGATCATCGCGTATAGGCCCTTATGCATGCTCACTGTCGAAATATTTTACTTTTCGGTTTAATCGATTAATTGATTATTCAAATGAAAATCGGCCATCACTTGGATGAATGTGAAACGTCATTTCAAATATAAGGACCACACATAAATAAAGATACAATTTGAAAGGGACCGGAGCTAATCACAAATTACGTTCCCACGGTAACTAAAATAAACACGAGTGCTGACCGGTTGGTAGTATTGCCACCAGTGGCGCGCATAGTAAATTCCCTTGCATTTGACGTTTACACACTACCGCCATCTGTTCAACGTACACTCAGGTCTTTTTTTACACGGGGGATACGGTCCGTGTAAAAAAAAACCGTGTAAAAAAAAACCTACGAGATTTTGATTTTTCGTATGCTTAAATGTTTTTAAAAAATCGGATATTGATGCCATTTGTAATTAAAGCATGATATGGTCCATATAGACATATTTTAAAAATTTCTGTATTTACACCAAAAATTGTGATTTTTTTTTAAGTATACCATTCGATAACAAATAGCTTTGAACGGATAATGTGATTGGAATCAAGTCGATAGGTTGTATCGTTGTCGAGAAATCGTTAAAAACGTACCGTGTAAATCGTGAAAAACCGTGTAAAAAAAAACCGTGTAAAAAAAAACCGCGTAAAAAAAACCGTGTAAAAAAGACTTCAGTGTACTAGCTACCGCAGTGTACTCAACAGATGGCGGTAATGTTTTAGCGACGATGTTTTACAGTGAGGCATATTCAAGGTGTTATGTCTGTTTGTCTGTGATAAAATGTTCATTAAAAATACTTAAATTTTCCATAAACTTCCTGGCACATTGCAAAAGTCACTTTGACTCTCGGAATGACCCCCTTTGACGCCACATGAAGTGTTTGCAATGGAGTGCTAAATAACTGTGTTCAATAACCGTATGTATCATCACTATGATAAATTGTGTCACTACTCCATGTTAAATAGAAAATCCTTCTATTAAGATTAGAATAAGATTAGATAAGATTTTCCTCGTCAAACATCTTTGCTTGACAATTGTGGAATGCACACAAAACAAACAGGTTGCTATTTTACCTTGACATTGAATATTGAGCAGCTCGAGTTACTCAGAGTTACTCAAAATTTATTCCTATTTTACTCATTATAAAAAGCTGTCTTACCCCTAGGATTTTAGTGTTCGTGTGATTGCGCTTGGAGATCTCTATTAGAATTTATGTTTCTATTCTATTTTGAATTTATGTTGGGGAAATGTATGTAATGTCGGCTTAAATGTCCCTAATTTGGACCCATACATAAATTCAGCAATCGACTAAATTTCCAATAGCGACAATAGAGCAAGCTGCGATTGTTTGTAAAATAACGATCCCGGCAACCCGCTATTTCTGACACCTTGAATGTTTTGGTTTGAAATCGCAAGGATAAATCCGGAGAACTTTGAGATTTGGGCGTAATCGCTTTTGTAAACAAACACGTCAATCGCCGATTTCTCGCGAACAAAAGAACAATCTCACGAACAAACTATACCAAATGATAAAGGAATCATTCATCTACCTGTTTGTGTTGTATTTTTTTAGATTGAGCTTTAATTCGCAAGAAATCGACAAATGATGTGTTTGTTATTTGTTTACAAAAGCAATTACGCCCTAGTCTCGAAGTTCTCCGAAAATCGGATTGAGGATTACGCGGGTGTGCAAAATTTTGTTTTTTTGTTTTCATAGGATAGTAAAAGTTTTATAATGCCCTCAAAGGCAGACCAGAAACCTAGCCTTTCGTGATATGAAAAGCAACGGTCTATCAGTGGCCGGAAGGAGTTGGAACCGGTGGGGAACATTGTTGAAGACCGACTATAGAGGATGATGAATAGACTTCTGTAGTTTGTTTTGTGTGAGTTGCAGCATTATTTGAAATTACGGTATTAATGGGGTCTAATTAACTGCCTTTTTTCTGTTGAGCCCACTTTAGAACCTACATTTCGTATTTAGATCTATTAGTGAACTGCTGGTCACAGTTTTGGTCATGAACTGCTCATTTGCTAATAACTTTGCACACAGTTGACGAAACATAGTTCTGTTTGCAGCAGTCAATAGAATAGAGTTTAAGGTTTTTATAGATACATGACGAAAAGTAGATTTTAATGCTAGTAATAAACTGTATTTGTTTTTGCGTTGTAAAAATGAAATGAGAAAAGCTCGCTGCACTTCTCGGACTTTAAGTGTAAAAATTCATTGGTGTTGATTCAAATGTTAATATTTCCCTACTATTTGCATATCTATAGTAAACTATAATCCTAATCTATCAATTACTTTAAAGAAAAAAAAATCAACAACTGCGTGAAAATTTATCAGCAAATTAGCGGTTGGTATGTACAACTGTGTATGCCAAGCATGCCTCAGTCAGTCAAATAGCACGTAATGTTGTGAACAACTTCAATGACAGTTGTCCAGCAGTGCTCCCATTTTATTTACAACAATTCAATGCCTACACGGATAGAAATCTCCTTATACCTTTTGGCAAATTTCCATTGCTGATTATTCATAAAATGTATAAGTCAACTAATAAGCAGACGCCTTGCAAAAAGTTAATAAAGATCATGTATCAAATGAAATGTATAAGCGGTCACACATACCTTTTATGCATTCTAATAGGACCTATGTGGTTTGTCTTATGGAATGTATAAGGCTGATGCTTTGGCAAAAATGCATAAGTGAAACACATGAATTAAATAATTGATTTCCGTTTCGTGTACGAGATTGTGCCGAATCTAATTTCGGCACAATGTGCTGAGTGACTTACCCCTTGGAGAACATACTGATAGCTATTTTTTATTATTCAGTTCCAACCTAGATCGGATATATGTCTAGTTAGCTCTGATTGTTTTCTGACAAACGTCAGATTGATCATTTGTTTTTAAAACCTACCTTAGGTTGAGGTTCGCACTGACAAAAAGTTCGGCTTTACACTGATAATAAACAAATTCACTATAAGTAGCGCACACATGATGAACAACTATGAGGAAGATCGAAGTGTGCTATGCTCGCGGCTGGACATATTTGTTTTCCCAGTCGCATTTGTTTTTCGCTCGTTACTGTCACTCTGCTTAATTTAATAGTGGAGCTTCTTGAAATAGTTTTTGTTTAACTGCAGAAGGATATAAACCGTCGCGAGTGCGATTTAATCTTCACGACTATCGACCTCCGTTGGAGTAATTATCAGAACTGGCCAAGTGGCCCCTTAAAGTGCATATCCTTTAAAGTATTGTTATCACACATGGCTGGTTCATTCGGGTGAGACCCTTTTTGTTT